AATGCCTTCGCATTATTACAGGGGCAATGAAATCCTCACCAATAAATGTTCTTCAGGTTGAGTGCGTAGATCCTCCTTTAAGATTAAGAAGGCAATACCTTTCAGACAGATTCTTATTTAAGATCTGCCAACTTTCAGATCATCCCCTAATTCCTAAATTGCACCTTCTTTCAGAGTATATCTCATCTGACCGATACTGGACCCATAAGGACTCTCCCTGCTTGTTTAAAAGTTTTGTAATTTTTCTTCAGCTTCCTTACCCAATCTTTCAATGCAAAATAAATCCACTCTTTGATGTTCCTTACGAGGCTATTGTTTACCAACCCGACATTCATCTAGATCTAGGTATAGAAAAGGATTCTCCAATGGCAAATTTGAAATTAAAAGAAATTATAGAAAACACCTTTAAAGATTGGCTTGTCATGTACACAGACGCTTCAAAACATTCTGATGAAGACTATACTGGAGCTGCTGTTTGGATTCCTAAGTTCAAAATCATTCTTAACTTTAAATGCCCCTCACTATCCTCCACTTTTACTGGTGAAGCAACTGCAATCAGTGAAGCTTTGTTATATGTAGAGTCACATAATCTTAATAAAACAGTTATTTTCACAGATTCAAAAAGTTGTTTGTTAGCTATTTTGTCCAATCAATTCCATAACAAACATAAGTTTCCACTAATTCTTAAAATAAAAAATACCCTATTCAGATGCCATCTTAAAGGAATCCATGTTTCAGTAGCCTGGATTCCAGGCCACAGTGGTATCCATGGTAACGAAACAGCTGATGTACTCGCTAAAAATGCAATTGCTAATGGCATTCTACAAAATTTAATTTACTCACATGACCTAATTTTGCTAGCTAAAAGGAAACTGAATGAAAATTGGAATAAATTATGGGAAGTTTCCAAAAAAGTTAAAGGTAAGCACTATGCTGCCATCCAAGAGGTTATTCCTCCCAAGCCTTGGTTCTTTAAATTTAACAAAGCAAATAAACATGCAACTTCAATCATTTGTAGATTAAGAATTGGACACGCCTGTACACATGCACATCTGGCAAAAATCAGAGTAAGGGATAGCTCATTGTGTGAATGTGGCTTAGATGAAGGTTCCACAAACCATATTTTTTTCAACTGTCCCAAATTATCCTCCTCCCTTTATGATTACCTTCCTCCTTATATTCCTCGACCTATAGATTTTAATTCTCTTTTAACATATACCAGTACTCCTTTTGTGTATATTTTATGTGATTTTATTAATACTAATAATATGAAACTTTAAATCCTTGTCACTTTTAACATACGGGTAAGAGTCTAACACCTGTGTTTGTCATATTTGTTCTAGGTAATTCAACAAATAGATTTGTCAAAATTCTCGGAGGAAAACTGAATCCTTGTATTATCACAGACTCTTATTTTAATTAAACTCATAAGCTTTCATTTTCTACTCAATACGTCATTGGCGAATTTTATCAAACCGCCACAAAAGAAAGAAGAAGAAGACTAAGTAGCAATGGTGAGACATGGGAAGATTCCTCCAAAGGAAAATTAATTAAAAAAATCTAAAAAATTATGTTGTAGAAAAATATAATATTTTAGAATTTTTTTTAACTGGCACAGCTTGTCAAAGGATTTTTTGTAGACAAAAGATTTTCGATCTTATTTTTATGAACTTATCACTGACATTCCTTTATTTTAACATGAATAGATCGACATCTTTCGTGTGACACCCCTGCATGCTGCTGCATATCACATCAATCCCTGGAATGCTGCAGCACATCAAGCTATTCTATGGGATGCTACGGCATGTTGCTGTATCACGTAAAACACATAAGTTATTTCATATGGAATGTGATTGCTATTCTAAACAAGGTTGAATCTAGACTGTTACGATGACGATCTCAATGAGCCCAAATAATAGCTTTTGTAACAATGTGGGTTGCCACAGGATCCTTTGGCATGCAGCGGAATGTCACAGGATACTTCGGCATGTCAAAGTGTGCCATGCCATCTGTGAGCGCAAGCCCTAAAGCGGCAGTTATATAAGGTCATCAAAGTTGCTGTTTTGTGGAACAAAAAACGGCTGAATGAGCATATGGTAGTTACTTAAATTATTCCAAATAATTAATAAAGATATAGAAGTCTGCAACTTTGGGGTGGCTTAAGAGTCACCTCTGCCAAACCTTATAATAATGTCCTCCAGACCGAATTTCGGTCACAGCGGCCTGCGTCAACAGAGGCTAGCCATCGGCGCAGGACAGGATTATAGTGCCCAAGTGTAAGCGCAAGCACAGGTGCACTCTCTATTTCCTTACTCTCATAATCCGATGGGACGGTAAACCAACACGACCGGAGAGAGATCAGGCGCAGGACCAACAGCTTTACGTGTTTTCCGAGGCACGGGGGTGAGACCCCACCAACTTCCTGACTCTGGGCAGCTACTGAGAATTTCCCGACAGAAAAACTCAATAATTGATTTTTATGGTCTGACCCGGGATTCAAACCCTAATGATCAGCAGTAGCACTACTATAACGACTAGACCAACGGGGCAGTCAAAAGCGGCCAAACCTTACACTGCTGCTGGTATATAACTTAATAATATGATTCCATATTTTTGATAAATTTAAGTTTTATATTAATTTTGTACATACAAATATGATAAAAAATTAATACAATGAAACCAAATAGATTTCATGTACAAAATTTATTGCTTGAAGAAACTTAAATGCATTTTAATTATCATTTTTCATATCCTTTTTATTAAACCTCAAATAAAAACATAAAGTGAGAAAAAAAATTGCGGGTGGTATTGTGCATGGCAAATGTGTTGCATTTAGCTATTTTTTTACTGTAAGTATTGTTTGACAAAAACCATACTGTATAAAACATTAAAGCTTAATTTTAAATTTTAGATAAATTTAAATGTTCGACATTTGTCAATTTATCTAGTCAGTTTTTTGAACTGTTTTATTATAATTCTATAATTTTTTAAAAAAAAAATATTGTTTTACAAATAACCTATGGTCTGAAACACTAATATGCTATCCCCTTTTTATCATAAAAATATGAACCTATTATCTGGGGTGATTGCTGTTTCTATAAAAAAATTAAAATGTCTTAACTCTTAATACCGTTTTATTGAACTTTTTATTTAATAAAATGACAACCTAATAGAAGAGGAGGAGGTTGACGGAATAATTATGATTAATTAATAAAAGTAGAATATCAAAAATAAATAAGATGTTATGTTATAGATACTTTAGAAAATAAAAGTATTTTAAAACATAATATATATTTAATGGAATAACGCACAATTGAAAATCAAACATACATTCTCATATGGTCTCCTATTTCTTCCCTTTCTTCCCCGATGGCTTTTCATCAGTATTTTTGGGGTTTTGCCAATTTAATGGATTGCGTCGGTACATAGGCCACGGTGGCACTGTCAGAATGGCAGCTAATATAAATCCGGCTCCAAGAATGTACACGGATTGAGAAAATTGCTGAACTATATATCCCCAAATAAAGCCGACAATACTGAAAAGTGTGATGATTGCTCTGTACAATTTCTCTGCTTTTGCTTGACCAACGTAATCAATATGTGTTGGTATTGTTGAAAAGAACTCCATTATTAATAAAAGTATAGTTTCTTAAACTTTCTATAGAAAAATGTTTTACTTTTATTTGATGTCAAATTAATTTGACAACGACACGTCAGGATTTTTAGTTGGACTCTATGGTTCGTAGTCGTAGTGCAATCAACAAAAAGAATCGATACCTGATTTGTGGTTTTGTGTGGACATCCTTTTGGATTTATTTATTTTAGTATTTTTTACTATTATAATTACATAATAATAAGTAGGAGTAATTATTAAAGTTCGAAGAGGAGCAACACGAAGGAGATTAAGATTAAATGGAGCTGTCGCTTGTGAATTCACCCATTTAAAATCTGAAACTTTCGTGTGGAAAGATATGAAGACAATATTTCAGTGCCAGGAACATCCTTGCCTTCAGAACCAACCAAGTAGTATCGATACTTTTGATACGTTACTTGGTACCGAGTATGTATCGATACTTAAAATTTTGTGCATCATTGCTCATTCTAGCGATGTGCGAATGGAATTATTTGACTCGAGTTACTTGAATTAACGTCGTGTACCACGTATATAGCGTATTAGTAGTAGTAGTGGGCCACGTACCAACCGGCGCTGTAAATCTCGCTTAAGGGTAAGTCCACACGGCATGTTGCGTCAGCGTTGCGTTGATGTAGCACTGTCACTGCGTCGTTTTACATACTAGTAACCATAGTGTACACATGGCATGCTGCGTTGAGGCAACGCGCACACCACTGACTGAAAGCCCATGGGACGAAGGGAAGGGGTGTAGTGCTTGCGACGCCGAAGCCAGCCGAAGCGACAGCGCTCAGTTGTTTGTGCGTTGATAGTACGTTAGCTAGTTTCGTTTTTTCTTTGAGTTTAATTTGCAGAGTAAAATGAGTACCATTAAAGAAATTGACATGTATTACTTTCGATGAAGCAGCGCCAGTGTTGCCGGCAATGCGTCAAAATATTTGCGTTGCAACACGCCGTGTGGACTAACTCTAACTCGAATTGAGTTAGAAATAACAATAGCATGCGCGTTGCGTCATTCCCGCGCGACATTTATCTCTTCATTCTGCTATTAATTATTTTTAACCTGTTAATTGTGGCGTGCAACACTGCCCCTCCTAAAACATGCTCGTCCCGAGCATTATGGGCCCCATAATAACGCGCCAGTCGTTCCACATGGACTATCTTAGGAGTACTTCTTGCACCTTTTTGAAACGGCTCCGCAACATCAAGGGCTATCCTCTCTCATGGTGCACCATCATTGTACAATTTCAATGCCCTCTACTACGAGTCTGAAGTCCCTTCATACCGCACAACTTGTATATTTGCGATTTCAACTCGAAATCGTCACGACAATGACCCAGTAAAACTGTTCTCGGATCGTCACTAGAGTTCATTTAACTCCCAGACGGGCTCCTGAACAACCATTATGGTACAGCTGTAGAACATCCGGCACTTTAGCTTTCGGGACAACCATTTGCAAATGACAGCTGTCTCCCCGACCATTTTCCCATTTACGGCACAGAACTCCATCCTCAATCAGCAATCTGTTCCATTGGGCCCAATAGCTTTTCGTGGCCGAACTTATCACTGAGACGTCGCTCCACTTGGGCTTGGGAGCACTGGCCTTCATCCATTCCAGAATCGGCTTGATGTCCAAATCTTCTTGTTGTGTATGTTTTATGCTGTCCTTCCACTCCTTGCTAAGGTATACTGTCCTGAGTATCCTCACAGATACCACCTTATTACCCTCTTGCCTAGTACGATCCTTGTAAATTTCAGGACAAGGTCTTCTTGAATATGTATCTGCGTTGCCATGCGATTTTCCGCTGCGGTTTTCGATCACAAAGTCGTATTTCTGATGCATCTGGGCGGTGCTGTTAATTGCACTACCCTCTCGAGATCGATCACTGCCCCTTTTTATAGTTCGCTTAGGGCAGCTAGATCCAAGATGGCCCCTTTCCCTACTTAGCACCTTGGACTGCATATTTTATGGTGCTCGTGAACTGTAGCTGCTGCAACCTCCTTAATGCGATGGCAACGATGATCCTGCCGCTGCTGTGTGATGCTATTAGGCGCACTACCCTCTCGAGATCGATCACCTTCTCTTTTTACAGTTCGCTTAGGGCAGCTGGATTGAATATGGCCTCTTTCCCCACAGCCATAGCACCTAGGGCTGTATCCCTTATTGCAGTCACGAACTGTAGCTGCTGCAACCTCCCTGACGCGATGGGAATGGTGATCCTGCCGCACGGCTTCCACCTCCAGTGCATGTGACAAGGCTTCCTTAAGTGTCTCGTGGTGCCCGATCCTCACAGCAGCTCTGACTTCAAAGTCGCGGATGCTGTCGCTGAATGTCTGCACTAAGTTCCCTTCAATGAGCGCAGTTACAGACTGGTATGCTTTTCGAACCAGCTTCTCCACCTCAAGGGCCGACTACTGCAGGTTTTCGTTGATACGTTGTACACGATCTTTAAGCTGAGCACTAAAGACGTTTACCAGGTGAGCATCGCCATATCTCGCCTCCAATGCCTCAAGGAGCTGCTCGTAAGTTTCTTCCTTACCGAGAGCTTCCAGAACAGTTAAGGCCTGGTCACGAGGGCCTAGTGTGAGAGCAGTCATGGCCTGACTTTTATTCCAGTTGTTCGCCTTCGTGACAGCTTCGAATTGGATTTTGTAGGCAGACCAGCAAGAAGTCGCGTTGAACGCGGCACTTTGAATCCACGTAGCGAAGGTGTTATAGCTACTATGGGAGCTGTAATTATATCCCCAAGTTTGAGTTCGTCCAGCGTTTTCTTCATGTCAGCCATCACGTTGTTCAATTGGTTGATTTTGGTTTCAGCTTCCGACAGGCGATTGCCAACCCTATCCTTCAACTCACTTATCTGTTTTCCGAAGGTGGCGTGAAGGTCCTCCATGAGAAGCGTCTGCTCTTCCTTATCGCGTTTGAGCTGCTCTTCCAAACGACGGGCTTGTTACTCCTGTCCGCGCTGCAGCTTCTTTTCCAACCGACGGGCCTGTTCCTCCTGTCCGCGCTGCAGCAACTGCAGCAGCATCATCATCAGAGCACCTAAGTCAGGTGCTGCAGGTGTAGGAGCTGCTGACGGGCCGCCCTGCGTGGCCGACAGCTGGCCCTCCGACGTCTGCGGCGTTGCACCACAAAATCGTCTCTGGTCCGTCTCCTGCTGGCGTTGACTTCGGGTACGGACACCCTCCATGTCGTCTTCAGGTAAAATTGGCATGATTGTATCCCACTTTTGACACTCATTGTTACGAGCTTAGGCTTCATGACAATAAAAACTGCCGATTTAATTACCAAAATTGACACTTTAATTACAGAACACCAATTAAAACTTAAAACACTCCAATAATTAATCACACTTAACACTTTAGTTCACTTTATTTCACTCCTAAGGCTTCACTTGTATTGCCAATTCAATACTGCTACCTGGACCTTTTCCACCGAAAACCACTCGACACTAGATGGCACTAGTGAGAAAGTTGTAGAAAGGTTTTGACGCTCCTATTTCTGCTACTTGATACTAGATGGCGCCAATAATTACCCGCCGTATACCGGGCATTAATTATGGCACACAACACTATTATAATAATATACAAAACAATATCTAGAACAGGTAAATGAAATTGTATACTTGGGGAGTGTTTTCAGCCGGGATGGAAGATGTGATTTAGATGTGGATAGGCGTGTCGCTGCCAGAAACAAAGTCAATGGTGCCCTGAATGCATTAGTCAAAAGGCAAGGCGTGGTGAAGAGTGCACGCCTTGCACTACATAACGCAGTGTTGGTACCGACTTTGTTATATGGCAGCGAAACCTGGGTGTGCCAGAAGAAGCATAAAAGCAAGTTGAATGCAGTGGAGATGCGATCTCTTTGTAAAATGTGTAGCGTTACCATAGCCGATCGAAACCGAAACGAAGAGATTCGCAATATGGCAGGATTGAAAGATGACCTTATCACAAAAATTGATAGGGGCGTACTCCAATGGTTTGGGCACGTTGAGCGAATGAGTGAAGACCGAATGGTGAAGAAAATATATAGAGCAAAATTAAATATTAAAAGGTGTCGAGGTAGACCGAGACTAACTTTCGAAGACCATGTGAGCAAATTGCTCGAAGAGGGGAAGGTCAAGAGTACTCGGATACCTAGACGTGCATGTATGAAGAAGTTAATGAACCTGAAAGAAGCGAAAGAGGTATGTAAGGATCGTGAAACTTGGCGATCTGTTCTCTCTGGCTACCCCGTTAGGGATTGTGCGTGAAGATAAGTAAGTAAGTAAGTAATACAAAACAATGCTTCAGTGATTTGAATTTTTGGACATCTTTAATGATTTTTTTTTTAATTATTCTACCTGTATGAAAATTTGTGCTTTGGTTTATTTATTATTGATCTATAAAATATAGTAAAGAAATAAAGTATATTTTATTTATATTTTTTCATAATAGAGTCGTTTAGTAATAGAGTAAAGTAGTAGAGAGTAGCTTAGGGGCTAAGGGCACATTGTAAATTTCATAGTACCTACGCTAGCAACTCGGGTTCGATCCACGTCGGCACCAACGAAATTTTTAATTGAAATTTTAAGTTCTGATTTACCGAGTGCTCGGCGGTGAAGGGAAACATCATGACGAAACCTGTATGTCAAAAAAATAAGAAAAAAAATATTTCAAAAAAATGTAAAGTTCGCCAACACGCATTAGGGCAGCGCGGCGGACATTTCCTTACCCTAAAACCCTATAAGGTATATGCCCAGCTGTGGGAACTATATCGGCTGTGACTTTAACTTTAACAGAAAGAAACAATAACTTTTACAGTTTTCAAACAAATTAATTTCCCCGCTATGAAAGCTGTCAAAAGGCCTCACTTTAAGGTGGCAGATTTTTTTGCCCTGGTGGCAAAAAAATCTTGGATACTCTCATTATTAGAGTATTATATACACTATAAATAATACAATTCTACTTGATTGATTGTATTGTTTTAATGAAGGTCAAAACAGGATAAAATTTTATTGGACGCTTTTTATATTGCAATACTGCAGAAAAAGCCAGTAATGACTAATGACTTATGCAGTCTGTGCCTTAGCTTTTAGGTATCTGTGGCATACACTTTTTCCGTCAGTCGATTGTCAACATTCAGTACGATCAGACTCATTAGGTTAATTTTATAAAGATATTAGTTTTATTTTCAAAAGTACAATAAGCGAAATTGACAATAAAATGACAACTTTGAAACAAGTTCCTCTCACATGTGGTGGCCATACTAGACCAGTTGTGCATTTGGATTTTAGTGACGTTACAAAAGATGGATATTATTTGATTTCGGCCTGCAAAGGTAAGTTTTAATTGTTGCTTTGCACTCAGGGTGCTTTTTCCATGGCCTACATAGAGAAACTTGCAAGTGTTTGTAGTCTTTTTATGACGGTTGTCTACCAAGTGTTAGAATTTGAGATGCGTTCTGGAGGCGTTCACTTTTCTTATTTCACGAGTGGTTCTACTCGGCCGGTATGCATTCTATACGTGATCTGACCTTCTCTTTCCGGACATGCAGGAAGCACCTTGAGTTCCGTTCATATGTTTCCTCGCGGTAGTCGCTTGCCTTGGCAGTTAAATCGTGCTTTTTATTCTTACAATGTGTCAAGATATACGCATTTCACGCCTTTGTGTGTTTACGAAATGGAACTATGATTAAATCTTTGTTTCTTTCCTGTTGCTTGTTGACATTTCACTGACTGTAGGTCACCTTGTATTTACACAAGGTTCCTTAAAGTACTTGACATTATTGTTTACCACATAGAATGTTAAGCAAACTCCAGGATTACTTTCATTGTCTTATTGCATAAGGAAAAATATAAAATATTAAGATTCCATTTGAAATTCTGCTTTGTCTTGATTTTTCTTATGCAAACTTACTATCAAGTTTAAAACAAAGTAAAGTTTTTTTTCAATTAATATAAAGCAATAATGTTTATTTGTTTTTGTGATGACAATTTTGTCATATGAAGTAAGAACATATGTATATGAAGTCAATTAAATATGCATTATTAAGGATAACTCAAAATCTACTAAACTACTTTTGTGTGACAAAAACATCTGATCTTGAACAATTTGTTATGGGACCACAAGTAAAGCACCAGTTTTCAAATAAAAAAAGAATCATTCAAAATAGATTCCCCAGACACATAAAAAGAGAAAACATACAGTTGAATAGAGAGTTTTTAATTTTTAAAAGTATACTTTAAAACATGTGATGCATGCACTCATACATACCTTTACTTATAAAAATTTAGGCATAATTTATAATAATATGCCCAGATTGAACAACTAAAAAATAAAAATAGAGTGCAAATTGCTACTGCTAAGCAATTTGTTCATGGTTAACAAACAAACTGCAGTCCATGAACATCTGTTCATGTCACCTCTGAGGATTTTGTTGGAATGCCTCACAGCATGTAAATACTGCTCTCTATACTCTTCAGACGGGAATACAGCAGAGCAAACACTGCTTTTGACTGGAAGAAGGTCCTACCACCTAGTAATGATAATAAAAGACCCTTATGGAGTGTATCATATAAAAACAAAAGCTATATTTATATATTCTTGGTAAGCCTATTTTATATATTCTTGACATAATGTACACTGTATTTTACATAAAAAATGATAAAGATGTTCCTCCTGTTTTTAAACATGGCATCTACTTTGGATTTCTATCTGTAGTTTTCAAGTGTGAAAGAAATATAATTGTGTATGTGGTTATCACATGCAATGAAAAATTACATTTACTGTGTTAGAGCCTTTCTGTGTCCCGTTGTTGAGCACATCCCTAGTATCATATTGTGATATAGTTTTTAGAGT